TCAACCTTCCCTGCTGCATAGACCAGAGTGAAAGTTAGCTGAGTAGGCCGACCTCTAGAAGGTACTTGAAGGGTCTGTGGCACACACTTGCCCTCTCCAAGATGTGAAAAGGCACAGGTGCCCAACAGTAGCTGAGCATGTCAGTTAGCCTAACCAACAGCTGTGATGTCATCTGCATGTAGGTGTCTGCATTGGATGTCTGGCTTAAGACTTCACGAATACTGAACATCCCTGTGCCTCGTATGTCTTAAGTGTACCATGAATATTTGGTACCCATGTGGTCCGTTGATCCTTTCCTGCTTTTAGCATACAGATGCTGTAGTTTATATGTGTATCTGCTATGACTCACGGGCTATTCCTATACTCAATCTCACTTCTCGTTTCTCTGAGCTTTTTATAGCACAGTCAGACTTTATTAACTAACACAGCAACCTACACCACGTGGTGAAAGATGGGGCTGGTGAGATATGTGAGATTCCGTTAACAACATTGTGTCTGGCAAGCTGTTGGGTTTTATTCTGTAGGTGGTAGGGTTGCATCCCAAGGGTAGCAGCCCCACCTCCTTGGTGCCACTCTGAAAGAGCACTTGGGAGCAATGGTATGAGCTAGAAAAGGGCAAGGGGCTGAGCTGGGGACGTGGTGCCAGCAGGTTTCTAAAATGTTCTGTGTCCTGCAGGGGAGCTGAGTTAGAAGGCCTTCCCTCTGTTTCTTTGAGATGGTTTCTTTTAAAATGCTGTTATCTCTGGAGGCCTTGTGGTTTCGTCTACATGCTGTGGGTTGAACTCACTTATCCAACTTCCCCTCTGGTCTATGCCGCAGGGAAGACTGATGCAGCCAGGGAGAAGCAAGACAGAAGGGCAGTGTATTCCCAGTAATGAGGACTGCCATTTGTCTACATGCTACCATAATCTGCTGTTCCATTTCTCCACCTTGTAGATTCACCTCCTGCTCATTGGAGGCTCTTGGGAAAAGGTTATTTATTGACATTTCAAATCCCCATATTTCCAGAGAAAGTAATTGAAAGTGGAAACTGGGGTCTCACACATGCTTGGCAAGAACTCTACTGCCCAGCTGCACCACCAGCTCCCCCCTCACCCCGCAAAAAGAGTGCCTTAGTAATAGTACAAGTGAAACTGGGTAATAGTGGTGCTCGCCTCTAATCCCAGCACTCGGGAGGCAGAGGCAGGCAGATCTCTGTGAGTTCAAGGCCAGCCTGGTCTACAGGGAGAGTTCCAGGACAGGATCCAAATCTACACAGAGAAACCCTGTCTCAAAAAACAAGAGGGGGGAGAGAAGATAGAAAGAAAGGAATGAATGAAGGGAGAAGGAAAGGAAGGAAGGAAGGAAGGAAGGAAGGAAGGAAGGAAGGAAGGAAGGAAGGAAGGAAGGGTCATTTTCTTAGTTTCCTGAGCTCTCTCTGACCCCTTGAGTGGGAATCACCTTCTGCAGAGCCAGTGCTCACTTACAGCTTTCTGTGTTCCATGTACCACTCTAGGCCTCTTAAATTGGTTCATTCATCCCACTCTCTGGAGAGCTTTGTGGAAGGCCTCTTTCCAGTTCACAGATGAGGAGTCTAAGAAGTGAAGAATAGGGTTGTCTAGGAAACAGGAGTAGAGTTGGCATCAAGCTGTGTACTTCATGCTGGCCCCAAGGATGCCGTTATGATTTGAATGTGGCATTCCCCATTATTTCATGTGTTTCAATACATGACACTGGTGACACTATCCTGAGAAATTGTAAGGCCTTTGAAAGGCTGAACCCAGGTGGCAGAAGTGAATCCTTAGAGGGCAAAGGGGCTTAAGATCTGTAACCAGGCCCCACTTCTGGATTCATCCAGATCCAAGCTAGCTACACCACTCCTCATGCAACCACCCAGCCCCCACCCTGTGGTGAACTGCATGCATGAACCTCCTTCTTTAAGTTACCTCATCAAGTATTCTGTCACACAGTGAGGAAAGTAACCTGTTCTCACCATTACAGGTGTGAGCCTGTTCTCACCTCAGCACTCAATACAGACTCAACTCCTTTCTGTGGCTATTTTTTCACACTTATCCTTTCGATAAGAGCAAACATTTATCTGTTCATTTATATATTCCTCCAGTAAGATCCCATCAGAAACACAAAAGGTCTAAGACAGCTACTAGCTGCAAGTAAAAACAACTACAAAGATACAGCCTTCAATGTATAGGGAACACAAGCCAACAAAAATCAGAAGGAAGGAAGGAAAATCAAGTGAAGACTACATCTCACTCTGAGATGTCAAAGTTTAAAAAAAAAAAAAACCTAATTATGGACAACAAAACACAGCTTAAGCTTAAATATTCCCTCACCCCGTTGCCATTAGAGTGAGTCTGCTGTGACTCAGCCTCCAGCTAGCACTGCATGATACCATGACCTTTGGGGCTGCTGATTTCCACCAAGCTCTGAAGAAGCTGCTGATGTTGAGTTCACACAGTTTTGACACAGAGCTCCATCCTCAGTTCCCTAGCCTTCTGTGGCCTGGGTGACATCCTGGCAGTCCAGAGAGGGATGAGACCTATGACAGATCCAGTTTTAGAAAGTCCTAGAAAAGGCCGTGGGTAGGTCTTGCCTGGGAGAAATTCCCACCAATCATAATCACCTTGGAGAGGGGAAAAGACTTCCGTGAGGCCAACTCGGGCTACCTGACAGGCCCTGAAGGCTTCTTTTTCCATCAGAGGGTTGAAAGTCCCACTGATCCTAATGCTCAAGGAGTAACCAAGGTGACATCAAAAGTGATATGGCCTATGCCACAAAAGCTAGGGAGATGGACGAGACACACGCTCCTAAACTGCCCACCCAATCGGCATGTAAGTTGGAAGTCTATGAGAGGCTTCACAACACCAGCTCATTGGTAATAACTTTTGGGAGCTATGAGAAGAGAGGTCTCAATAGGCCAGCTGCACTGAAGACTTTCTAGTCCAAGAGAGTTTAAGATGACTGCTTGTTAGTTTATAGCCAAAGGTCAAACTTTCACATTTAGTCAAAAAGGGACAGGGGGTTGGGAGGGGCCTCGGAGAAGCGTGGCACACAGCTGTCATCCCCACACTTGAGACAGGAGCATTTTAAACTTTACAGGCATGGCAACACTGTCTCAAACTAGAAAGGAAGGGGAATAGAAGGAGAAGGGAAGATGAAAAAAAAACAGATGGGGCCATCAAATTCAGCTATTTGTTAATATAATATCGAGGGGCTTAAGTCCTTGTTTGTTTCTCCATTTGGAGCTATCACTGAGGACTTACCTATCTTACCTATGAATATAGAGCCTGGCTGAAAGGTTTCTTTCTTGAAAGGTTTTCTTCTGTTGAGTGTCCCCAAGGTATTTCATCTGTGACAACACATTGCACTCTTAGTCTGAGAGCACAAAGCACAAAAGTAGCGTATTGTACTTCAAGACCAGGATGCGGAAGCTCCGCCACCCCTTCTGCTGGAGGACAGGGTTCCCCTCACTGTCTTTCTCTAAAAGTTGTGCCCTTCATGGATCCCAAATTGACACAATGATGTCATCCAGCTTCCTGCCCAGTGGACCAGGCATCTGTGGGAAACCTAGGGACTAGTCTCCAAAATCCAGACCAGGGCAGACACCTCAGGGCAGCAAAAACAGCTCGTTTCCTAGTTTCTCTTCACTTGGAACACTGGAATTTCCCTTTTATCTTTTTTCCCCCACCCTGTATTATCTTTTTTTTTAAGATGGGTCTCACTGTGTAGCCCTGAGAATGTAGCTGATCTTGAATTCAGAGAGATCTGCCCCACTCTGCCTCCCAAGTGCTGATATTAAAGTGCCTGACCCTACTTATTTTTTAATTGAGATAAATTCATATAACATACATTTCCTTTCTTTAAAAGTACAAGTCAGTAAGTTTCCGTGTATTCACTATGATGTAAAGCCAACACTAGCTTCTGCTTCTAAGATTCTCCTGTCACCACTCACCAAAGAAAGAGATGTCATACATGTGAACAGTCATTCTCACTGCACCCACCAAACACCCTGCGTCCACCACATCACTTCTGTTACTGCGATTTGCCTGTTCCGTGCTTTCCTATTAATGGAACCATAGTGCTCGTGGCCTGTCTCACTTAGTATGTCTTCGAGGCTTATCCAGGTTGTAGTGTGTGTCTGTAACAAAAAATAAAAGACCCAGAGACTGATATTGGAGTTCAAGCTTCAAGCTGACTATCAGAAAAGCAAAGCAGCCAGGCACTAGTTTTTCACCTCTAGCTCAGGCTAAAAGGTCTGATCCACAAATGAGCTCTTCACCAAGTTTTAAACTGCTGTCTCTCCTCAGCATGGCTGGAGAACAAAAAGCCTGTCTGAGACCTTGCTTCTATCTTATACACTTCCCGAACATTAGGATTAAAGATGTGAGCTATAACTCTCTTTTAGACTGATTCACTCTTGTGTAGGTCTGGGTGGCCTTGTACTCACAGAGATTCGACTATCTCTTAATCCTGAGTCCTAGGATTAAAGATGTGTACCACCACCTCCTAGCTTCTGGCTGCTGGGATTAAAGGTGTGTGCCTGGCTTCTGTGGCCTGTGGCTGACTTTGCTTTCTGAAACCTCAGGCAAGCTTTAATAAGTCATGAACAATATTTCACCACATGGATCAGAACTTCATTTCTTTTCATGGCTGAGTAACATCACACTGTATTTTATTTGTCCTTTCCTCGGCTTATAGACATACGTGGGTTGTCTCCACTCTGCTCTATTGAGAACAGTGTGCCACTGTAAACATAAATGTGCATGTTTATGTGAACAGAATTCTGTGTGTTGGGGATTTGGAAGCACATCTTAAAATGCTTATTGCATTTTTCCAATACCCTTGGGGGTTGGTGCTTATACTGAAGGGTTTTAGGATCCTGGGGGAGAAGAGGTACAACTTCCTTCTGAAGTTTCCCGTGCTCACTTAGGAAAACTGTTCCTGCCTGGGAGGAGGGTGTTGACAAGGGGGCCTGGTGGTAGCCTCAGCCCTGGTCTGGTGAGTAGATACCATGAGCCCAAGCAACCTTAAACGTGTGTCACCTCCTCTTCCACAGGTCCGATGCCTCCTTATATTGTGATGATGTTGACATTCGCTTCAGCAAAACCATGAATTCCTGCAAAGTGCTGCAGATCCGGTATGCCAGTGTGGAGCGGCTGCTGGAGCGGCTGACAGACCTTCGCTTCCTGAGTATCGACTTCCTCAACACCTTCCTGCACTCCTACCGTGTTTTCACCACCGCTGTGGTGGTCCTAGACAAGCTAATCACTATCTACAAGAAACCCATCAGTGCCATCCCCGCCAGGTGCGTGCGCATCCCTTGCCATCGCCATCTGTAGAATCCCTGGGTTCTGATGAGATGGTTTAGTGGGTCAAGGCACCTGCTGCCAAGTCTGATTACCTAAGCTTAACTCCTGGAACCAGCATGGTGGAAGGCGAGAACTCGCTCCTGAAAGATGTCCTCTGACTTCCATTTTCACTATGACCTGAAAATCCCCAGACATATACACACCCACTCACACTCACACACATACACACTCAAGAGCGCACACACACACACACACACACTCACAAATACATTAAGTAGTTAGTTAAATGTGAAAATGCTTTTTTGTTTTTTTCAAGACAGGCTTTCTTTGTAGCTTTGGAGCCTGGCCTGGAACTTCCTCTGTAAACCAGGATGGCCTCGAACTCAACAGAAATCCCCCTGCCTCTGCCTCCAGGGTGCTGAGATTAAAGGCGTGCGCCACCACTGCCTGGCTAAATGTGAAAAGTATTTTTTTTCAAATCCCATCCACACTATTCCCCACTAGTGTGTGCACCCCTTCCCAAACCCACAGATCTTCCAGGCCAAATTGGTCCCTGGAGAAGAGGCTGTCCCAGAAGCAAGGATGTGGTGGCATACTTCATTCCCAAACCACAGAGGCAGTACATTTCCAGTCTGGTTTTCCCAAAGGAAACAGGAGATGGTGGTCCAAGCCTATAATCCCAGAGCTCTGGAGCTGTGAGTGGGAAGAGCAGCTACACAAGGTCATCCACAGCTATACAACCTATTAGAGGGCTACTTGGGAGGACTCCATCCTCCAGGAGTCCATTCTCTTGGGAGGACTCCATCCTCCAGGAGTCCATTCTCTTGGGAGGACTCCATCCTCCAGGAGTCCATTCTCTTGGGAGGACTCCATCCTCCAGGAGTCCATTCTCTTGGGAGGACTCCATCCTCTAGGAGTCTATTCTCTTTGGAGGACTCCATTCTTTAGGGAGGGATCACTCTGCTCTCTCTTCCTTTCCCCAAAGCCCAGAGGCCCCAGAGGCCTGGCCATCCATGCTGCTGCTCACTAAGACTCCTTTACCTCCCCTGCCTTCCTTGCTCGGGGAAGCCAAGGGATGTCCCTTGTTCTCCCTATGGGAAACACAGGGCCCACCCTTTATAGAAAGATGGAAAAGTGGAAGGAAGGGAGATAGGCAGGAAGGTACCTCTGCTCTGTGTACACTCATCATGCTTTGAAGACTGGGGAGCCCTTTATGGTATGCTCAAGGGACATCCTCCAGTGGACAGAACCCTTTAGCCACCTCAGCTTTGAGACCATCTTTCATGCCTACATCACTGAAGCTCAGCTCTCCAATGTGCAAGCTACCACCCAGAAAGGCCAGGAGACTTTCCACAAGGCCCTTACAAGTTTGGCTGAGGTGGCCTTAAATGCAGGCCTGGCCCCGGGATTCCTAAGGCACTGCATTTCCACCCCCTCACAACGCAGTGGTTATGTGAAACCTCTCAGGTGCCATGGTATAGACACTGGGTTTAGAGCCAGAGGCATCTGATGAGTCACTGCCTGTCCGTGAGCCTCTGTTTTCTTGCCCAGGAGCATCCCTTAGGACCACTGTATGGACAAGGGCAGAGCATGCAGGTGAGAGCAGCCTCCTGTGAAGAGATGGAGGCTCTGCAAAGGCCTGCAGTCAGGAGGCTTAGCACCTCAGGAAGGAGGCAGAGGTAGCAGCATTGGGTAGAAGCACCCCCAGCACCAAATATCCAACCCACTCAAGCCCTGTGGATACAGACATTTGTCCCCAAGCCTGTACAGAGACCCATCCCAGCATCAGGGGTCATACACATAAGGGAGACACTGCTGTCAGCCACCCTGAGCCCTGTAGGAAGCAGGCCAGGTAGGCAAGCCTACACCAATATCTCTCTTTCCTTCTTCCCTCCCATCCCCACAGGTCACTGGAGCTCCTGTTTGCCAGTGGCCAGAACAACAAGCTTCTGTATGGGGAGCCTCCCAAGTCACCTCGTGCCACCCGCAAGTTCTCCTCACCACCACCCTTGTCCATCAGTACATCGTCCCCAAGCCGCCGACGGAAGCTGTCCCTCAACATCCCCATCATCACAGGCGGCAAGGCGCTGGACCTGGCTGCACTCAGCTGCAGCTCCAATGGCTACACCAGCAATCACTCACCCATGTCTCCCTTCAGCAAGTCCACACTGGACACCAGCAAGCTCTGTGTGACCAGCAGTTTCACCAACAAGACTCCAGACGAGACTGATACAACTTCAACCACAACTACGGCCACAACCATCACCACTACCCCAAACCCAACTCCCCCTGCAACCCAGACCCCCACCCTGACCCCAGCCCCAACCCCAGCCTCAACCCCAACCCGCACCCCAAACCC